AAAACAAAAAACAAAAACTCCCAATTATAGATGAGAACTAATCTGCATATTTTTCAATTTGGTGCACAGTGTTGTACATCAGCTACCTCCTCGTGTGTGACAAGAACAAGCCTGGACCTTAACCTCTCTCTTGTTCGGGGCTGTCACTGACAAAGCCTGTGCACCCTGCAGGATTAAAGGAGTGCTGCTGTTGGATAGTGTTTCAAACAAAGCTTTCGATGGACTCTTTGTTGGTGGTCATATCTTTGTTTGTGCACAAAGCCTTGTATTTTTGCTGACATCTCTGTGGCTATGGGTGATACTAAGCTGAACATGGTTGGTCTAATATGTAATCTAATGGGTACAATATTAGTTGATTCTCTGTAACCATGTCTGCCTGCTTAAACATAATTGTGAGGGTCTGCATTCATGTGTTAGGTTCAAATCTGATCTACAAGTGACAAGCAACTCCATTACATTAGATTTACTCAGAACTTGCAAACGAAATTACACTTTTTGCTTGCAATTGTTTGTTTTTGACAGTAAACCATAATGAGCTTTGTAATTTTATAAGAAAAATACAAAGTTATACTTGGTGAACTTAAGTACCTTTCATACTTATTCAAATGAAGCTTCTGTACACACACACACACGCACGCATATGCACACACATGCACACACACGCCTACACACACGCACACAGAAAAACTAGATGTTGTGGTACAGCGCTAGCAAAGCATGGGAGCAGCAGATCACAGGCTAAAGAGGCACAGGGTAAGATGTAGAGCACTCACAAGACCCTGACCCAGCCTATTCACTATCTCCCACTCTGCAGGTCAGACCCAGAACCGAGTCCCCAGCAGAAAAACTGTGAGACCACTTAGAAGGATCAGGACAGAGAGGGCTGATGACCTGGCCTGTTTGTGTGACGTCAGCAGTGCACCAGCTTGCCTAAATTATTATTATTTTGTTATTTACACCTTTTAGGACAAAGTAAATATTTATCACTAACTGCACATTGCAGACAGCACCGGCCTCTGAAAATCCTACACTTTTTTTGCCATAGGTTGTTCTCCATGCAAATTTACATGAATGTGGTTAGTCTTTTCTCTAAATACTGTACATGCACATAGACTTATGTAGTATTTGGCAAGCTGTGTCATTACAAAAGGTGTATTTGACTTGCAGCATCATGTGGGGTTCAAATCTTCCTTTGCAAGAGCTCTGTAAATGATACAGAGACTCTGCTCTGGTAATGGCGGGTGAATGCAAAAGCTTTGGTGAATCCGGCCTGAGAGTGTTTGTGCCTGACTGGCTTGCCGTCAGTGCAGCTCTGTCTCCTCTCATGCATCAAGCACATTATAAGAACAATGCAATGACAGCTCCTCAGAGTGTTGAACAGCAAATGTTTTACCATGGCGAAAATATAATATTGACTCCTCTGCAACAATTACCACTTACAGTTTCCAAACAAATGAATAATATATAATTGGGCTTTGTTTATGCCCAAAAATAAATGGGTTATTTAGTAGCCTTGGTGTATTTGACATTTTTATTTTTAATAAATTTAGTGAAACAGAAATGTGAAATAAACATCTGCAAAATTTAGGATTAGTTTCCATTTGTTTTTCAGAATATTATACTTTTTTGCCTTTCTGCTCTTTGGAGTAACCGAATGAAGCAAGAAAGAAGTGCCCTTTGTTAGACAGCTGACTGGCAGTGTGCAGCAATAGGTGGACAGTGCTGTTAGTCTATGGTGCCTACAGCTCAAAAAATTAAGTTTATAGTTGATTCTTGAGGTATTAATCAAATGAGGTGTCTTTCTGCAAACGCACACACTCACGCACGCACAAAAGGAATACAATCTTTATTCTTTTGGAAATATATGACAAATTATTATAAACACTTGAAGAATCAAGTGTGATGCAAAACATGATAAACCTGGATAATACTTTAAGTTCAACATTATTGTTAAAAGTATGCAATAAACCGAAAGACATATGTCAATTATGAAAATTATTTTTACACAGGGTTGAAAGAACTCTAAATGACAGAAAATATACTTCTTTCTATAATCTGATACAAGTAGGAATGAAGTGGGAATGATAACTTAACTAAACTGCAAGTACATAATTATTTTCATCTTTTAAAGAATGTTGCCATTTTTATTTTCTATAATCTTTAGTTTAAAATAAATAGCTATCACACAGGTAACTTCATTTGAAGAGTTAGGAAGCTAAGTGAACAATGAAAATGATTTACTTTCATATTCTGACTGGTAAATCAAAAATAAATACATGGCCTGTAAACATATTTAGATGATTTTTATTGTTGTTGTTGTTGTTTTTAATTTTTCAAAAAAAAAAAAAAAAAAAAAAAAAATAAACTAAGTTCAACATTGTTTTTCTGAGGTGTTTGCATTGAATGACCCAGTAAGGAAATACTTCTAGTTGAAACCAAGTCAATGCATTGAATCATCTGTTTCATGAAGTTTATTGCTTTACTTTTTTTTGGTCAAAAGTTTATGCAGAAAAGACATTTTGACAAAACATTTTTTTAAAAAAAGCCTTTTGTCTCTATGACTACATCTAGAAAATACATCAATTAAAAATAGTGCTGATAGTGCTGGTTGACTGGTTGTTGGACAGTTCGAACTAATAGCCTTGTTTTCACTCTGCAAACATAAAAAATGGGCTCTTTCTCTTAATGAGGGCCGGCATGCAGAGATTAGATGACCCGTGTCCCTCTGCGCTCATTATAAAAGCACAGAGTCTTGCAGAGGCGGGATAGCTAATGCTCACCTGGCAATTATGATGGCCCAGTGACTGATAGGGAAATCATTTCCTGTCTGTTCCCCTCAAGAGGGCTGCATCACAGAGCCGCACAGACAGCGCTCTGAGGCATTTCAACTTCTCACCGTCCTGCCATGCAGTCATTCATTTGGAAACAGTTATGTCAGGCCAAAGCGCTGTTTTTAGAAGCTACCGTTCATACAGTGAGGCTTGCTGGGTTCAGACTAGACAAGAAATGTGATGTGATAAACTGCAGGGAGCTGCAAGTGAATAGGGAGGTAGTTTTTCCTTTTCTTTTCTTTTTTTTTTGCCTGGAACCAGACTGACTTAGCAGCATATTGATCCTGGTGAGCTCAGACAGTGGATCCATGAATGGTTGGAAAATAAACAAGCTGCAGTGGACATAAATTGTTTAAATGAAAGATCACAATGATGTGGTGGACATCATGACAAAAAAAAGAAAAAAAAAGTTTTTAAAGAGGTAGCTGGGTGGGGGCTAGTAATCTTTTGCTGGCACACCAAAATCAAAAGCCACAACAAATTTTAAAGAGTTTTATTATGCTGTCCTGTCTGCGTTTCGAGTCCACCACCAAACAATTCAGGATAATAATTCAATTAGTAGATGAATAAATGATTGCTTAAATGAAATCAATACATAATCTACTGGTTTAATCTTCCTTTAATTATGTGAATAAAATATGTAAACATTTAATTCCCTTTCTGTCGGGTGGTGGTACACTTAGATGTAGAAAATTGTAACAAAATGTGCTTTGTTTTCTTCCAAATGTACTTTGAATATGCAAATAAGAACTAAATAAATCCACTTTATGACTAAACTGATATATATACTAGATTTTAATGCAAATTTCCTGCTACACCTATCAGGGGGTTCTCGACAAAGTGTTAATTGTGCTGTTTTCAACCTCTGCACAATGCAGCGAAAAATAAATAAAGAGCAAAAACAAAGTGGAAGAAGAGATAGATCAGCAATTTATTGTAGAGGAGGTGCTGTTTTGTTCCTCCTGTCCTTCTGTGTTTGACACAGTGTGTGAGCCTGGGCAGTGTGGGTGTATTCCTCTGTGGATACAATCTTGGTAATATGATGAGTAATTCTAGTTGCAGGTTTTTTGTGTGCACCTGGGAGCTAATAGCGCCATGTGCGTGTGTGTGTGTGTGTGTGGAGTGTGAGAAACTCTCCCTGCAGAACATGTGTAGATTTATCAGGGAAATAAAGTGCAGTCCCCTCTGGGAGAGTAGCAGGGTCATTGGAGAATGTTAACACAGGTGACCCAGAAGAATAACCTGTAAACAGGTTTCAGTGACCTGTGGAGAAACCTGCTGAATAATGGAAGATCGATAACTCGCATTGGCTCACTGTGGAGCTATATTTTTTAGGAAAATAAGGAGCTACAGTGACTTCTTAAAGGAATTCATACGTCAAGTTAGAACCACACCTCAGTATATTTTGGGGAGAGAGGTGAAGACTTAAAGGAGGAGCAAAAAGAGTAATCAGGAAAGATAAAACGTAATGTATACGCTTTAATCTAAATCATCCAACTGTAGTTTCTGCTGAGTGGTTATCCAGCTGACATAGATCTCCTATCTGTTGCACATTTTAAATCAGTTTTCTTCATTATTACCCTGTTATTAGCTCAGGCCAGCCATCCCACCCCATTCAAGAAAAGCATCCCCCCCAGCATGATGCTTCCACCACCATGTTTTTATTGTATTAATAGTGCCGTCAGTGTAATGTACAATGTTAGTTTTTCAAGATAATTAGCATTTTGTATGTAGACTAAGCAGTTCAATTAGACAAAATCGTATTTTTCAACATGTTTTATGGACTCCACACTTTTTATATTTGCTTTTCAAACACTGTTTTATTTTGTATCCCTTCCCTTCCACATTTGCTGCTTTTTTATGATGGTATGAAAAATCAAATCCTAATAAAACACAGTGGCGTTAGGGTTAAATGAAGAAACAAATTGTGGAAAAGGTAAAGGGATGTGAATACTTTTTTTCAGGGCACTGGAAATGAACGTGTAAAAGATTATCCTTCAAGATTGTCCATAGCCTCTCATAATTTTATTGGTAAAAACAAAAAAAATAAATAACATATCAAACTGCCAGAGATCTGTTCATTCAGCGATTCGGCTTCAGTGGGATATATATATATATATATATATAATAACTGTTAAATGAGGCAATCCCTCTCTCTCCCTTCCTCCAAACTGTGTCTCTATGTGGTACCACTAGGCAACCGTGGGCGCATCACTGGATATGCAAAAGTGCGCAGGAGCCGAGCAAAGAAATCGAAGCAAAAAAAAGGGACGTAAGCAGCCAAAAGGAGCATCTGTTGGATCTTTGTATCAGTGGAACAATGAGAAACCCGTCGATGTTCCCATAAGAAGGAAAGGAAAAGCTGCAGGAAAAGAACCCTGGCGATCGAGCCTCCAAAAATGACGACAGCGGGACGGTGATATTCTTCTTCTTCTTCTTTTTCTTCTTCTTCTTCTCCTTCTCATCAAGCTCTATATTTATTTTTTTATTTTTATTTTTTTTTACCATATGCCTGGAGTTTATCTCATGTGCGCGCAGAGCACAAAGGAAAGGACTGGGAAACCGAATTATCTCCAACGCAGTCGCCAGTGCGCGCAGGGAGGTTTCGTTTAATTGAATCGAATGATTACGCAGAGACGTTTATATTATTTGTGTTTTACAGAGCGCAGGGAGAGAGGGGGGATTTAAGTTTCCAATGAAAACTTACTGCGAGTGCGGCTCCTGAGCAAGTCGGTTAAAGCCTCAGCTTTCTAGGGGGAGAGAGATGAGTGATTCACGACGCAGTAACTGATAAAGCTGTAAAACCTGGACTGCGACTGGCGCGTTTGGATACCTCATCCTTGAGAGTCTCTACTTACTTGATTTTTATTTGTTTATTTCTGATGGCTTCTTGTCAAGTCATGTATTATTAAGATTTCATGGCTATAGAGAGTAGCAACAGTGGTGTGTGGAGAAAGAGGACAGTAGAAGTCTAACAGGAGGGGTAAAGACATCATACTTTTCCAAACAGGAGATATTGCGCACGGCTGCAGCAACTACCAGACTTTTTTTTTCTTTTTTTTTTTTCTTTTTGAGGAACACTGAATCCTTTAGTATTTCTTTCTGTCATCGTAGTATGTCTGCACTTCGAAAGAAATTTGGGGACGATTATCAGGTAGTGACCACCTCCTCCAGCGGGTCCGGATTCAATCAGCCTCCCCCAGAGAAAAAGAAGAAGAGGCAACGCTTTGTGGACAAGAACGGACGTTGCAACGTCCAGCATGGGAACCTGGGCGGTGAGACTAGCAGGTACCTCTCGGACTTGTTCACCACGCTGGTAGACTTGAAATGGCGCTGGAATTTGTTCATCTTCATCCTCACCTACACGGTGGCTTGGCTCTTCATGGCCTCCATGTGGTGGCTCATCGCCTACATCAGAGGAGACCTCAACAAAGCGCACAACGACAAGTACACTCCGTGTGTGGCCAACGTGTACAACTTTCCCTCTGCCTTCCTGTTCTTCATAGAGACCGAGGCCACTATAGGCTACGGCTACAGATACATTACAGACAAATGCCCCGAGGGGATCATTCTGTTTCTGTTCCAGTCCATCCTGGGATCGATCGTCGACGCGTTCCTGATCGGCTGCATGTTCATCAAGATGTCTCAGCCCAAGAAGAGGGCAGAGACGCTGATGTTCAGCGAGCATGCGGCGATCTCCATGCGTGATGGGAAACTCACTCTCATGTTCAGGGTGGGAAACTTGCGTAACAGCCATATGGTCTCTGCACAGATCCGCTGCAAATTGCTCAAAGTAAGTGGTGGTGCTTTTATAAGGAGCGACATTTCATTGTTTGTAAGAGAAACGAAAGAAAGAAAGAAAGAAAGAAAGAAAGAAAGAAAGAAAGAAAGAAAGAAAGAAAGAAAGAAAGAAACAGAAGGGTGGTGGTGGTGGGGGGGGGGGGGGGGCACAAAAAAAAAAAAAAAAAACAATAAAAA